GTTGTGATACTACAATTCAAGTCCTCCACCCCCAGACGTTTCCGCCGTCTGGTTTGGGGGTGTGACAGTCAGAGAGTCATGGGGAGTACTGAGGTAGTACTCAAGACTACAGATCAGATCCAGCAGGTCTGGAGCAGGCTCCAGACTGCTCAGAGTCAGCAGAAGAGCTACGCCGACAAGCGGCGTTCAGACTTAGAGTTTCAGGTGGGCGACATGGTCCTCCTGAAGGTGTCACCTTGGAAAGGTGTCATCCGGTTTCGGAAACGGGGCAAGTTGGGCCCCATGTACATTGGTCCTTTCAAGGTTATAGCCCTGGTGGGGAAGGTGGCGTATTGATTGGACCTTCCAGTAGAGCTCAACTAGGGATGTTATTCGGGTCGGAACCGAACCGAACCGACCCGAACCCGAATAAACCGAAAACCGAATAAGGGTAATTGTATGAACCGAAAACCGAACCAAATAATCAATACAGGTTCGGTTCGGTTTGGTTCGGGTATTATTTGGTTCGGTTCGGTTCCGACCCGAATAACCCAGATAACATGTACAAGATGATTAAGGAGCCGAATAACCCGAATAACCCAAATAACATTTACAAATAACATTTACAATGTGATTATAAATATTGTATTTTGTATGACTTTTGTAGCTTATGATTTCATAACATATATTTTAAAGAAACAAATTAAACACTAAAAATTAAACATCCAAAACACCCAAAAATCTATCTATAAGTATATAAGTTAAACATTAAACATTCCACACCCAAATTAAAATTTGAATCTTAAGTTTTTATCCATATCCAAAATAACATTTTTCAAACACGAATTAACTATTCGGGAATATTAATTGGTTGGTTTCCCTTTCCATCTCCGTTCTTTATCGCCTATTCTAAAGCTTTGGTGTAATACGCTACTGTCGATTTGGTGTAATACGGATGATCGAATTCGATTTCGTTGATTTTTTTGGTCTATTACGTGGGTTTTGTTGGGAAACAATCGATAGAAAAGAAGACCGAATAAGCAATCGTGTTAGGAAAAAAATGTGACTTTTCATATTCGGTTCGGTCCTTTTGGACCGAATAAGCCCTTATTCGGGTAACCCGGACCGAATAACCCGAAAACCGAATAAGCCTTATATAGATACCCGAAAACCGAATCGAATTGCTTATTCGGGTCTAATTCGGTTCGGTTCGGTTCGGATTTTCGGGCCAAATTCTCATCCCTAAGCTCAGCCAGATCCACAACACTTTCCATGTTTCCCAGTTGCGGAAGTGCTTAGTGGATGATTCATCGATTGTGCCCTTAGAGGATATTCAAGTTGATGACAGCCTGAACTACATTGAGAGGCCAGTGGCGATTCTGGATCGCAAGACGAAGACCTTGAGGAACAAGGTTGTTCAGCTAGTGAAGGTGCAGTGGCAGCACCGCAAGGGTTCTGAGTGGACTTGGGAGCCCGAGGAGGAGATGAGGGAGCACTACCCGGAGTTGTTTCCAGACGCAACAGACTTCGAGGATGAAGTCTAAGACAAGTGGGGGAGAATTGTAACGCTTGGGTTCTGCTACACCTTTATTCATAAATTATTCATTTTATTAGAACTACTCGACGAGTTGGAAGCCCCATACTCGTCGAGTAGAAACGAGTTTGGACGCCGGTTTTATGATATCTACTCGACGAGTCGGGAGCCCTCGACTCGACGAGTAGGTCTGCCTGAAGGAAAGCCTAATTTCGGGGTTTTGCACCCTATTTACGCATCTTAATCCCCACCTTTTGGCCTCATTTCCAGCCTCCAAGTCCTAAACCCTAATCCACAAAACCGTAGAGCATTTTGTGAGTGTGTGAGCCATTCTTGAGTGATTTTGTGTGTTCTTGAAGCTAAAAGAAGAAGAAGGAGCTAGAAGGTTCAAGGAGAAGAAAGTAGATCCATGGATTTCCTTCCATCCTCATCACTTTCTGGTAATCAAGTCTCTAACTTAATCATTCATTCATTATATCTACTTACCTCCATTTTCATGAGGGTTTTGGTTCAAGAACCTTGATCCTTGGGATGAGGACGTCTCAAGTGACTTACCTTTCAGATTTGGGATCTAGAAGGGGTTCCATGGCATAAAGGTGCAAACTTTATGACCATGGAAGCCCCGTGCAAGCTTAAAAACGTTATTATGGCCTTTTTAGCCCCAAAAGGCCATGCATGGAAGGAAAGCTAGGAACTTTACGTGTCCAACTGATGTCCAAGGCCTAGATCTACTATAGTGTGCTTTAGTTTAGGGTATTATGGCTTTTGGACCAAGAACTATGTTCTAGAGAGTTAGGGTTTGAGCTAAACCCATTAAGAAGGACTAATAGTGGGTAAAGTTAGAAACTTTACCCTTAAAAGTGTATTCCCAGTATGTAGATGAAGTATGGAGTTTGGATCTGAAGGATAGGAGCTTAATCCATTGAGATGGCTCAATCAGACAGAGGAACTCCGCGAGTCCATGGAGGGACTCGACGAGTTGAGTTGGTTTGTCCCGATTCTGTACAATGTGGAACTCGACGAGTCTGTGAAGGGACTTGACGAGTTAGTTTGTGTTTTCACGACTAAGAGTGGCAAAGGAACTCGGCGAGTCAAGGGATTGACTCGACGAGTTGAGTCAACTCAAATGTTGACTTTGACTTGGACTGAGCGTTGACTTTGACCGGGACTTTGAATTGACCAAGGTTGACCCGTGAAGGGGGTCTTGACATAAGAGATGGTCATTTTACCCTTAGAAGGGTTATCAGTTTTTGATTAAGTGATTATTGTGATAATGATAGCCGGGGAGTCGTTGGAGCAGCCACTAGAGATTCCTCACACGAGATTTCAGCAGCCAGTTTGAGAGGTGAGTTTTCCTCCAGTAGGAACGGGTCTAAGGCACCAAGGCCGGCCCGTTTAGTTAGTAGTAGTTCCGTACTACGATCTGATGTCGGGCGAGCCCCGATGTAAGTTTATATGTTTTCTTCCGGATTTCGATCCGATGCCGAGGCGGTCCCGAGGAATGTTTGTATGCTTGATGTCTTTGTGATTCTTGCACGTGTTTGTACTTGTATGTTTCCAGATCACGATCCGATGCCGGGGCGGTTCCCGAGGAATGTTAGTATGCTTCCAGATTACGGTCCGATGTCGGGCGGGGCCCGAGGAATGTTTACATCTTAATGTTATATGTCTAGGTTTATGTGTATTATTTGATTATGCTCATATGTATTCCAAGATGTGCTCGATGCCGGGCGGGGCCCGATGCCGGGAGAGCCGATGTCGGGCAATGACCCGATGTAGTAGGGGCGGGGCCCAAGATATGTTTATGTGATATGTGTATGGTATGTGGTATTTGGGGAGACTCACTAAGCTTCGTGCTTACACTTTTCAGTTTTGGTTTCAAGTACTTCTGCTAGTAAGGGGAAGAGCTCGGGATGACTGCATGGCACACACCACAGTTTTTAGCCTGGGAGGATTTACTCTGATGTTTGACACATGATTTTGATATATTGACAGATATTATGTTATTTTTGAGCAACATGGTTTATGACTTTTATATGATGGATGGTATTTATGGTTTTTACTAATTGATTTAAACAAAATTTTGGACCGTATTTTTGGGATGTTTCATAAGTTGCTTAAATATGACTCAAAACCGTGGATTTAGGGTTTGCATAATTGTCGAGTACGCTATGCGTACCCATTGAGTATGCCCAACGTACTCTCCATCATCCACGTCATTCACTAAAGGCTTACGCCCTGCGTATGCCCCAGGTACGCATGACGTAAGGGCCATTTTTGCAATACTTTAATACTTTGAGACAATAAGGAAATTACCTGATTGACTGGGTGTTACAAATCTAAGTTGTTTGATTGTTTAGGTCGTGTCACGTGTGGTTTGGCTTAGGTCTTGTATTCTGAATGTCGTAACTTCTTCATACGATCTCATATTTTAACGATCTTTATATACACGCGTTTGTATTTAATAAGTCTACTACAACTTTCGTTTAGATTACTCCCGTTAAAAACTAATATATTTTTACTTACGATCTTTATGTACATGTGTTTTTTATGAATATATGTATGAACGTTTTTTATAAAATCGTATGTAAAAATATAGTACTTTTCAAGAATAGTTGTCCTTTATTCCTTAATTGAATAGCAATTTTATTTTTCTGCCAATTTGCACTTGATATATCTTTGAAATATGAGTTTTAAGAGCTTTTGAGATTTTTTTGGGAGCTTTTAGATTTAAATTTTTTTTAAATAAAAAAATAATAGTAATTTTCAACGGTAGGAACTTTTAACTTTTATTTGAGACAAAAAACTTAGAATCAAAATAGTTTTTGTTTTAATCTAATTTTACATCTTTAAAAGATAAAAGTTACTTTTGCCGAAAACTTCTTCATTTTCAAGCTTTCGCCTTCCAACTAGTTTTGTCAAATGCCTCTATATCTCCATGAATTTTTATTGCTAGAATTTCACTAGATTCTAATTGTCATTATGTGTCAAAATTCTTTAGCATGAGAGTGTTCGATTGTAAAAAGAGGTCTATATGCATGATAATTTATCTCCACCACCCATTGTGCAAATCAATCTGATGGGTAAATAATTTTTAAAATATATTTGAGAAAATAACACCAACCTCAAGGAGATAGAAGAAAAAAAATGTAGGACATCATGGGAAAACCTATTTTTTCCTAATTTTCTCAAACAAGTGATTATTTATACATTAAATCAAAAAGAAACATTCATATACAATTTATCGAATTAAGTCATATCCCTATTAAGCCCATTAAGTAAAAAAGAAACAACACCTAAGTCATGCTCATTCTCTATGTATAATAGTAGACAACAGGGAAAAACATAATAATGAGGTTCTGCTTAAAAACAAAGAAATGAAGTATCACAATTCACACGGGTGATGGTGGCAAATCCAATAACAACCAAAATCCTACGCAATCATCGGAATCCAAATTATCTTGAATTGCTAGGAAATGTAAGCCTCCACTTGTCTTCTTTGCTGCTTCCCAAGCTTCAGCTTCACCTGTAGTCTCGGGTGATCTCTTATACGAGGCATAAACATAACGTGTTGAAATCCCCACCGCTAGAACCAAATCACCACGAGCCAAGTCCACTTCGATTGAACACACTTCTAACCCATTCATCCAAGCTGCAACCCACCCACATATAATCTTATAGCGTTAAATACTTTCATTTCATTTTGTATTATAGCATCCTACTTTCCTTTCTTTCTATTAAACCAACGCATTCTACTTGGAAAGATTTACCCGATTATAGCATTGCCCTTTACATTTTTTCTTTTCTTATTAGGCCATTCTACTCCGAACGATCTATCCAATTATAGAAGTACAAATTGTTTCTATATTTGGATGAAAATACTATAATAATAGAATTTACAAGATTTTTCAATGTCCGATGTTGTATTAGGAAAAAAAAAAGTTGAAAGTAGATTATTACGGATTTTATATACGTGCAATACCATTGCATTGTTTTTTCCTAATATTATTAATAAACTTTATCATGTTTTGAAGTCAAAATGTAATCCTGTTGACTTCAAAAGTCAAAATAAAGAGCTTTTGCAATGGAAAAAGAAAAAAAAAAGTTACCAACCTGCTAATGGTCTAGCACGTGAAGATGCCACTGCAAGGCCAGGAATTAATGTCTCGTCATCTATTTCTATCCCCAAAAGATCCAAATCAAGAGTTGCACCAAAGTTAAATGATTTTTCTAGTGTTTCCAGCTCCTTCTTAACATCTGAAAAATGGAATCATAATATAATCAATACCATAATACGGAATTTCCACTAAATTTTTACAGAAGAAGTATATTCCACCATACAACTTGCATTTTTTTCCTAGGAGAACAAAATGCAAGAAATAACAACGTAGTTTGATTTCTTAGTGTATTATATATAACATCCTACTTATTTTTCTTTCTATTACAACATTGCGCTTTCAAAGTTCTATCCAATTATGGGATTCTACTTTCAATTTATTTTTTTCTTATGAGGACATTATACTCAGAAAACTTTACCCGGTACTTATAGCAATGAAGATTGTTTTGTATTTGGATGATATTGTTATGATTATTAGAATTTTCAAAATTAAATTCCACTTTACAATTTCCTTTTTTTATTTTTTCTAGAAAGGGAAAATGCACGAAATAACAGTGTACTTGTGTATCCAGCATCCTACTTCTGTTTCTTTCTAATACATCATTGTACCTTCAAAAGTTTTTTCTTATAAAGGCATTTTACTTTGAAAAATCTACCCAATTACAGGAAGAGATGATAGTAGGATGTTGCTATTTCATGCATTTAATCCTTCCTAACATTTGAAAAATGGAACAATAGAATCAATACCATTAAGCTTTACCAGAAATTGTGTGAATATTATATTATATACCTGAAAAAGGTAACTGAACAAATGCCCATTTCTCTCCATACAAACTATCAGGAAGATCCATAGGAAAAGGGTTATCAAGTGCAAGGAGAGGCTTTGATCCTTTCTGGAAACCCGGGTGTCGAGTATATACAGTTTCATAGCGTTCTTCAAGCCAAAGAAGGAGAGACAAACACTGAAATAAAATAAATAACCTGAAAGATGTCAAATTTTGGCATATCAAGTCTGTGTTTAAAATGAAGGATTGAATGCCAGAAATAGCCACGTACTTTTATTGATTTATTAATTATAACATCTTACTTTCATTTCTTCCTATTACAACACTATATAGCCATTTCATCCATATACAAAACAATATTCACTGCTATAAATGAGTAGACATTTTAAAGTATAATGTCTTAATGAGAAAGTATAATGCTATAATTGGGTATGGTTTTCAAAGTACAATGCCTTCAAATTTTGAAAGTAATATGGTCTAATAGAAAGAAATGAAAGTAGGATGCTATAATACATAAATAAATGAAAGTATGTTGCTATTTCTTGCATTTAGGTCTAAAAGGAAATGACACAGTTTCAAACAAAAATGCAAGTTTTATTGCTAGTGAGTACAGTCTAACCTATATGATTTACCATATCAAATTATCAGTGGTCATAACTCATAACAAAATTATACTTGGTTTTGGTATGGGGTAGCCTAACTTTGTTGACCTAGCAGGCAAATCCCAGGCTCACGTAATACCCTGCAAACCATGTGGCGCATTATAAATTGTCCCCGATATTTTCATCACGAGGCGATTTTGTTATTACGGAAAAACTTTGATTTTTAGATTAAATGTTAATAAAACAAAACACCAAAAATAGAAAAAATGTTGGTTTGAGCTTGTCAGAAATTAGTTTAATTGGATGTGCAAAATTATATTGTACGCTGTCGTCATGTTTTGTCATGTCATGTTGGGCCCAATAGGTATCTTTTGCAGAGTTTTTTATATATCTTTTCTCCATTCTTTTATCTAATTCTTCTCTTCTCTGACGCCATTAAACCTTGTTTGAAACTTCTAGGAACTTATTTCTTCCCATGAACAAAATAGGGTCCTCAAATGCAATAAAGATGTCATATCATGATGACAGATTTATGAGATTTTTGTAAACAACTTCCTAATGCTTACAATTCCTTGGCAAAAAGATAAATAGCTAAGAATTAGATTAACTGCTTAAGAGGTATATACTATAACACTATATGATGAACTTAACACTACCCCAAATGAATAGATTACTTGAGAAAAGCAGATTATAAAGTATATGGCACACACCCGTTTGCTAGGAATTGGCTTTATACCAAGCTCTTTGCAGGCTTTAGTAATGATTGTCTGCATTTGTGACCTACAAAAATCATAAAGGAACCAGTTATTCGGCCTATCTATCTTTGAATCAAAGTAAAAGTCAAAATAAACAACCATGAAAGACTGACCTGAAGAATCTGATTCTATCTGGCAAAGGCACATCCAATTCATCACAAATGGACACAATTGCATCCTTCAAAGTGATACTGTTAATAACATTATTAGGAAAGTATTTGGTATACTGAAGGGACAAAGAGCTATCACAAGCAACAAGCTCCCAAATCTTCTTCCCTCTAATATCGAGAATAGGTCTGGAGCAAAAATCCAATTCCCATTCAGTAATGCTCTCTGGATCAGTTTCGGGGTCAAGATAACTCAATTCTGCAGTTGGATCATCATCTTCGTCGTCGTCGTCAAGGGCTCCCACGGGTAATGAAACCGAGCTTTCGGAAACCGAATTGGGTGGAAGTGTGAGGATTTTAGTGAGGTTTGTTGCTGATTTTGTGAAAAAAGAAGATGGGATTGTGATGGGTTTGGGTGAGAGGGAAGGTATGATTCTTCTGGTGTTAATGGCGAGACTAGCCATCCTGATACTGAGACTAGTCATGGGAGCAAAAATGGTTGCAGTGCGATTGGAAATGAAGTGTAAGTGGAGGCGTTGGTTACCGGCCACACGTCGGGCATATCCTTTAGGAACCGTCGTTGGATAAGGACAACGATCTCTAACAAATACCGCCCAAAATATTTGTAACTTGTAAGTAGGTTTGTTGGTGAGTTGGGTGCTGTTTGTTTTTTCTGAGATAAAATATATGCAGTCTGCGGACCATATCTGTAGACCTCTGCAGTAGAAGACGTGGACCAAACGTTTGCAGTCTGAAAAAAAAAGACTGTTTGTTTTTTTAACATTTGCGGGCTACTAAAATAAACTGAAATCTAAATAAACTGATTTTTTTAAACTTCAAAGTGATTCTTAAATATTTTTATGACTTTGTTATAAATAATTAATGAATCTAGATCAACTTTTATGTATTATTGTATAAAA